GATGGGAATGAAGAGGCCAGAGAGAACATAGAGATCAAGTCCCTATCATTTTCTCCTTGTTAAAATTCACTCAGTACCATTGATGCTGCCTCAGCCCAGAGGCAGCCTTGGATATGTTTTCTAACATTCAGTAATCCAATTCAGCAAACATTTGCTAAATACCTATAGTGTACCAGGCACTGTGCTGGCACTATTTATTTATACAAAAATAAAAAATGAAACTATCCCTGCCCCCAAGACTTTACATTCTACTAGGGGTGGAGGGGTGGGGCGGGGGGAAGTGGCACGTACACAGGTAAGTCAATACACAGTATATACCAATAAAATTCAAAGTGGTTTTGATGGGGACACTAACAGAGTGACTCAGGGAAGGCCTTTCATTGGGGGGTTCATTAGAACATAATCGCCTTGAGAGTAGGCATTGTTTCATACTTTGTAGCCAGAGTGCCTGACACGTAGTAGGTCCTTTAAGATGCTTTTTGATGGATCATCGTGGCCCTGTAGCAGAATTTTCAGGGAATTATGTATTCTAGAAGATGAGGGTAAAGAGGAAAAACATTCCAGAGTAGGACACAGCCTGGTCAAAGGTGGGAAATAGAATGTCACCTACAAAGTCAGAGATACCAGAGATACTTAGGAAGGAAAGTGATACTTCCCCCAAACCTATAGTGTGGGAGAAAGTATTCAGTACTGGGAGTAAGAACACCTGGATTCAAGTCTTGCCTCTAACACTTATGTGACCTGATTCTCTGAGCCAGAGTTTTGGCATCTGTAAAGTGGGGGCTGTTGTGAGAATCAGATGAGAAATAGCCACATCATTTATCTTTGTTTCTAATACCTAGGACAGGGCACTATACACAGTAGATAATTAGGAGTATCATGATGTAATTGAATGAATGAATGAATGAAGGAAGTACTTATTAAATGCTTGCTATGTGCACAGCACTAAGGATACACGTAGAAAAGACAATCCCTGCTCTCAAAGAGGGGTGGGATGTTGGGGGCAGGTGGTGAAGAGACAATACATAGTGAAAGTTTCAGTTGCATGTCAGTTGGAAAGGTCCTACGATCCTTCGGGTAAATGGAACTCAGAGCCAAGAGGTCTGGCTTTGAATTCCACTCCAGAGGTATGCCTTGTAAACCTTCAGGCATTCTAGAAATGGATGCCCTTGCTATTAATCATAAAAGAAGGGTGGGGGAATAAGGGCCCAAGGAATAATATATTTCCAGGGCAAAAGCAATTGACAGAAATAATGGGCATGTATATAAAAAAAAAAAAACAACTCCTGTTGCATTTGCAAGTGAGTGCTAAAGGCTGTTATTCAGACCTGATTTTTACACTTCATCTGCCCTTAATTAAAAATAATAATAAAAATGTTAATAGCATACTTGCTCTCCCATCTCACATCCCCATCTACAGTAGGGTAGCGAAAACATTAGATGCTAGCATGTGACCTTTGGGAAATACTTATGGAAGACAGATCATACCCAACCCCAGATAAACTACTGGTAACATATTATGAAAGCCACAAAATAATTACTGAAGATCTTGGAATCATTGATTGGAAGTCACCTACTACTTGGTTCACACAGGCAGTAAGTAAAAGAGCTGGGATTGAACCCAGTTCTAGTCACTCCAAATATAGTTTTCTTAATCTGCCACCTGCCTATGGGTTCTTAACCTGAGGTCCAAGGTTTCAGGGGATCTGTGAACTTGGATGGGGAAAAAAATGACATCTCTATCCCATTATGCCCATTTTACAGTTGAGGTATCTGAGGCAAAGAGAGAACAAGTGACTTGCCCAGGGTCACACGGCTATTAAGTGTCTGAGGCTGAAATTCCAGACCCAATACTTTATCCACTGTGCCACTGGCTGCTTTTTAAAAGGCACTTTGCTATTCTTTATCTTATTCTAACCTTTCAGAACTCCTATGGGCTTTGAGCATTGTTCTTCCTATTTTACATATGAGAAAACTAAGGCTCAAAGGTGAAATGATATGCTTATGATTATACAGTGAGCCTGTGAACAACTCCCCAGGGTAGGTTAATAACAGTCGCTCACATTTATATTGCCATGTAAGGTTGACAAAGACCCTTTCCTCAATAATCCATATAGTGCAGGTAATGTTATCTCCACTTTACGAGCGAAGAAACTGAGACCTCTGGTCTCACAGGTATCCCTGGATCATCAAACTTTTTGCATTAGAAGAGACCTCAGATGTCAGAGGCATATCCTCTCTTCTAATGCAAAAAGTTTGATGATCCAGGGAAGGAAAGTGGCAAGGGAAGGAGAAGGAGGGAATCCGTAACTTCATTAGAGACCTCTGAAGGCATCCCAGTGCAGTCCTTCCCAGTAGAAAGCAGAAAGTGGAATGGACCCCTTTGTCTGCTCTAACATCTTTCTAGCTTCACTGATTCTCTCTCATGAGCTCTGGGCTAAGGTTAAGCTGTGTTTGCTTCACTGGAGATGCCAAAACATTCAACCCTCTTGTCACCGGCGCTGGTCTCCTTCGGTGCTAACAAGTGCATTGGGAAGCAGGAAGATGGTGCCATTCTCAGTACTTGAGTCTCCTAAGTCTTTTATCAAGCCCCGGTGTGGTCGTGTGTCTGCAGGAATTACAGTAGCAATGAGAAAGAGGAGGGGAGGAGAGGGATAAATGGAAAGAAGGAAGAGGAGGGGGAGGAAGAAAAGGAAGGAGAAGTAGATAAAATAGAAAGGAATAAGCTTTATTAAATTCCTCCTATGTACTAGGCACTATGCTGAGCTCTTCATAAATATTATCTCATTTGATCCTCACGACAGCTCTTCGAGATAGATGCTATTATTAACCCCATTATACAGTTGAGGAAGCTGAGGTAAATAGAGGTTAAGTGAATTGCCCAGGGTCAAACAGCTAAGCATCTGAGCTAAGCATCTGAGATTTGAATTCAAGTCTTCCAGATTCCAGGCCCAGTGACATAATCACTGTTGCACCTGTCGGACATATCTGCATAGCCCTTTACAGTCTACAAAACATTTTCTTCACAACAGCCCTGTATTATTATCCCCAAATAAAGGCTCAGAGAAAGCAAGTGATTTGCCCAGGGTCACATAGCTAATTTGTGAGAAAATATGAGTGCCTGTAATTACGACTGGAAAGTCTGAGGATGAGTTCATACTCCTGTACTCCTGTACTCCTATACATTTATACTCGTATAAAAATATTCATAGCAGCTCTTTTTGTGGTGGCAAAGAATTGGAAATTGAGAGGATGCCCATCAGTTGGGGAATGACTGAGTAAGTTGTGGTATATGAATGTAATGAAATACTATTGTTCCATAAGAAATGATGAGCAAGCAGACTTCAGAAAAACCTGCAAAGACTTAAATGAACTGATGCTGAGTGAAGTGAGCAGAACCAGGAAAAACATCATATGCAGTAACAGCCACGATGTGCGATGACTAACTTTGGGAGACTTAGCTTTTCTTAGCAATGCAAGGATCTAAGACATCTCCAAAAGTCTCATGATGGAAAAGGCTATCCACATCCAAAGAAACAACTATGGAGTCTGAATGCAGATCAAAGCAGACTGTTTTCTCTTTCTTTTTTTTAATGTTGTTTTGTTTTTTGTTTCTTCTTTCTCATGGTTTCTCCCATTGGTTTATTCTTCTTTACAACATGACTGATGTGAAAATAGGTTCAATATGAATGCACATGTAGAGCCTATATCAGATTGCATGCTGTCTTGGGGTGGAGGGAGGAGAGAGATGGGGAGAAAATTTGGAACGTAAAATCTTATGGAAGTGAATGTTGAAAACTAAAAATAAATAAATTTATTAAAAAGAATAAGAGAACTCCAGTGTACACCTACAGTTTACATGCTCAGGAACCCCTTCTCCACACCAGTAGAGACTCATGAAAACCAAACTCAAGAGGCCAGCCAGTGGTCATCTCCTTGGCAGCATTAAACCACTGGCCTTCAGTTCTCAGAAGGAGCCTATGGCATAACTGAGCTTAGGACTCAGGCCTGGGCAGAATCTACATGTGAGGGGATATTGTTACATATTAAATATGTAAAATGTCCCCATCACAAGGAGCTGCAGCTAGGTAGCACAGTGGATGGAACATAGGGCCTGGAGTCAGCAAGACCTGAGTTCAAATCCAACCTTAGACACTTACTATCTGTGTGACCCTAGGCAAGTTACTTACCCTCTGTTTGTCTCAGTTTTCTCAACTATAAAATGGGGATAATAAAAGTACTTACATCCCAGGGTTGTTGTGAGAATCGAATGAGATAGTATTTGTAAAGCACTTTGCCAACCTTAAAGCATTACGTAAATGCTAGCTATTTAAATCATGAGCACAGTAGGGATGACACACTTCTTAGAATCGCCATTCTCATAGAACCTCAGAGTCAGAAAGGATTTCCAGGATAATGTAGTACAACGTTAACCAGAAACATGACTTCCATCTACACCATCCCAAGGGATCCATCCATCTTCTCTTGAGCACCCCTGTTGAGGTGAAAGGGTATGTCTCACTACTTCTGGAAGTAGCTCATTCTGACTGGCACAGCTCTGATTATTATTTGTATGTGCTTAGCACATAGTGAGCTCTTGTTAAATTCATCTTCATTTATTCCTTCATTGGGTGATTTGAAAGCCACTCTGAGGCATATGGGTGGGACTCATGCCCTGTGTGGTTTATTGACTTGGCTTGTACTTCTCTCCCCAACCAGCAGTATATGAATAAGTTACTTTCTCTGGAACTTAAAGTTTACATAACCATCCTGTGAGGCAGAAAGTATAAGCATGCCCATTTTATGGATGACGAGATTAAGGCCCAGAGAGAGGATGTGACCTGCCCCTTGTCTGATAGCTAGCAAGCAACAGAGCAGGGATTTAAATCCCGGTTTCCCAATTCCAAAGCCTGTGTTCTTCTCCTGCTCCTCCACACTGCCTCAAGACAGCTTCTTGTCTGTTTGTCACTCATGATTCAGCCCACTCCTCTGGTTTGCAGGTATGACACCTTTGGCCGCCTGACAAATGTGACATTCCCCACTGGCCAAGTGAGCAGCTTCCGAAGCGATACAGACAGCTCAGTGCACGTCCAGGTGGAAACTTCCAGCAAAGATGATGTGACCATAACCACCAACTTGTCAGCTTCCGGTGCCTTCTACACACTGCTGCAGGGTGAGTCGGGGGTCAGGGTGGTCTCAGAGACTCTCAGGAAGAAAGAAGTGGATGTGGTCCAGCAGGAGACACATCTCTTCTGCCAAGGAAGTTGGTTTCATAAGATTTAGACCTAGAAGGGAAGAACTTTCCAGCTGCCACTCGTTTTACAGATGAGGAAACTGAGGCCCAGAGAGGGGGGAAATGATTTCCCTAAGGTCACCCAGGCAGTAAGCCACAGAGCTGGGATTCAAATTCCATCGCCATGGATGCCAGAATCAGTTTCTTTGAAACTTTTCTCATGGCTTACATCAAAAGTATGCATACACACACACACACACACACACACACACACACTCTCTCTCTCTGTCTCTCTCTCTCTCTCTCTGTCTCTCTCTCTCTCTCTCTCTCTCTCTCAGCCTAGCCCATGGATGGCCCAGATCAGTCTGTGTCCTGTAATCCCTCAGCCTGACACTTCTGAGCAGTACCTCTCATGTGGCATTGTCATGTTCTATTCTCATCTGAACAAAGGCTGAAGCATCCATTAGCTCCTAATCCAGGTGACCTCGTTACTCTGCCTGTCTAATGGCTTCCAGATTAAAAACACTTTCACACAGATGCAGACAGGGAGCAGAAAAGGAAACAGGAATGAGTGCACCTAATTATGAAGGGAGTTTGGCTTTGGAGAAATCCCCCTTGCTGCTTAGAAGAAAGTTCATCTGTGCCATTGGAGAAGCCCGGGGAAAAAGGCTTCTGATCTAAGGTGTATAATTTTATTATTAAAATGCTATTATCATAGGTTCATAGATACAGAGCCAGAAAGACCATTGAGTCCAACCACTTCATTTTACAGATGAGGAAATTGAAGCCCAGAGAGGTTAAAGGAGTTACCCAGGGTCACACAGCTAGTGAAGCCTTGGACCTGAGTTCAGATGTGACCTCAGACACTTACTAGCTGTGTGACCCTGGGCAAATCACTTAACCTTTCTCAGTCTCAGTTTCCTAGTCAGCAAAATGGGGATAATAACAGCACCTACCTCCCAGGGTTCCTGTGAGGATCAAATAAGATAATATTTGTAAGATGCTTAGCACAGTGCCTGGGACATAGTAGGTACTGTATAAATGCTAGCTATTAATAGTAGTAATAAGTTATCTGAGGTTGAATTTGAGCCTATGTATTCCTGACCCTAAGTACTAATGCCCTAACATTATGTTTTTCATCCCTACAATTAATCAAGCCTTTCACAGTTTATGGAGTACTTTTCAGATCCATTATTTAATATGATCCTCACAATACTCCCATTTTACATATGGGTAAACAGGCTCAGTGAAGTGCCATAACTTGTCCACAGTCACACAGTCAGAAGGTGGCAAGATATGAGCAATCCTAGGTCTTCTGATCCCAAGTTTTCCATTAATTCTAGTAACTGAGCTTGTCCTTCAAAATCTATTTTGACTGCAGCTACTTCCATGCTCATGAGTGTAAAGTTTTACCTCTTTTGCCCTCACCACACTGTCTTCTCACACCATGGTACCTTTGATGAGGTCATGAGATGAATCTGGAGCACAGACCACTGTGTTTGAAGTCAGAAAGCCCTGGGTTTGAAATTCTTCTCTGCTACTTGCTAACTGTCTGGCTTTGGGCAAGGTTCTTCACCTGTCCCTGCCTTATTTTCCTTATCTATAAAATAAGGGAATTGGCCTATGTAAACTCTAAGGTTGCTTTCTAACTTTAAATCTATGACCCTATAATTTAAGTGACTGATGAGAAAAGGCACAATTTAATTACATTTTTTTAGGAAAAAGGATATTGTCGTCATATCACTAACCTTAATAGGTTGTAAGTAGGTTTCCCTTTTAAGATGGCACCTAATAAGTCTTTCAAAGCTGTGGTTGGTTGTTTTTTGTTTTGTTTTGTTTTGTTTTGTTTTGTTTTCCAACCTGTCTTTACATGGGCTTCTTTACAGAAAGTAGGTTAACAGTCATTCAAACTAAAATTTTAAATTTTGAGGAAAATGTTGAAAATATGTTTTATTATTTATTTTTATCCATCATCTACCTATGATGGGGTCTCAAATAGTGATGAATATAGAGTGGGTTCTCAGTAAACAAATCATAAAATGTTAAATCTGGAATCATACTTAGAATGCAGAATATAAGAATACAGAAAAGAGAATTTGGAGCCAGGAGGAACCTTTGACCATAAAATGTTCAAACATTAAACGTAGGACATAGAATTTTAGAGCACAGAATACAAGAACACAGAAAATAGGAATTTGGAGTCGAGAGGAACTTTTGACCATAGAATGTTAGAACATTAAATGTGAGACATAGAATTTTAGAACACAGAATACAAAATATTAGAGCTGGAAGGCACCAGGAGGAAATGATTTGAGAAGAAGGATAATATAATAGAGTACTGGACCTGGAATCGGGAATCTCAGATTAAATCCTGCCTCACACATTTGCGAAGTGTGTGGCTACTGGGACATCACTTAATTTCTCCAAACCTGTAAAATGAGAATAATAATACTACCATTACCATCTATTTTATAAGTTGTAAGGAAGGAGTTTTGCAAAACTCCTTCCATATGTATGTGTATGTACACATACACACATATGTATATATTAGTTCCTATATACATATAAATACATATACACCTATCTATACATATGCATATTTATCTATACACACACATCTACATATGTGCACACACACAAAGGCACCTAGGTGACACAGTGGATAGAGTGTTGGGCCTGGAGTCAGGAAGACCTGAGTTCAAATCTGGCCTCAGACACTTACTAACTGTGTGACCCTGAGCAAGTCACTCAGTTTCCTCATCTGTAAAATGAGCTGGAGAAGAAAGTGGCAAATCACTCCAGTATCTTTGACAAGAAAACCCCAAATGGAATCGTGAAGAGTCAGACATGACTGAAAAAAGACAGCAACAATATATCTATGTAATCTATATTTTTACCTATCTGTATACATTACAACTTAAGTTAGAACCAGAAGGGACCTCCAAGTTCATTAAGCCCAGGAGTTCTTAACCTGTGGTCTATGAAATTTGTTTTTGTTGATATTTCAATAATTGTATGCCAATATAATTGGTTTTCTTTTTAATCCTGTGTATTTTATTTTTACACTTAACATTATTCTGAGAAGAAGTCCCTAGGCTTCACCTGACTGCTCAAGGTGTCCACAACACAAAAAAGGTTAAAAACTCCTATCCTAACCCAAATCCCTTGTCTGACAGATAAGAAACTGAAGCCCAGAGGATTAAAGTGATTTGCCCAAGGCTCAATGGGACTTGGAGTAAGGAAAACCTGAATTCAAATTCTGACTCAGAAGCTTACTATGTGACCCTGGACAAGTCACTTAACCTTTATTTGCCTTAGTTTCCTCATCTGTAAAATGTGGATGATAATAGTACCTTCCTTCTAAGATTGTAGTGAGGCTCAAATGGGTAAGATCTGTAAAGCACTTTGCAAACCTTAAAACATTGTGTAAATGCTAGTTATTAAATGTGCTGTTACACAGCAAATGAGTGGCAGGAGTAGGGCTAGAACCCCAGTGTGTGTGGGCCCAGTCTGGTGTTCTTTCCATTGTACTTCATTGCTACTTGTTGATTGATTGATTAATTACCGGGTAGCTATTAGAACGATTCTCCAGTTGGTTTAAAGAAAGCACCCACCTGTCTCATGCTACCCCACACTACCTGTTTTAATAGAGCTTCTCTGTCTCTGCTCTTTCCACAGACCAAGTACGAAATAGCTACTACCTAGGTGCTGATGGCTCCCTGAGGTTGATGCTGGCCAATGGGATGGAAGTGGCCTTACAGACTGAGCCCCACCTTCTGGCTGGCACCGTCAACCCCACGGTGGGCAAGAGGAACGTGACCCTGCCCATTGACAATGGGCTGAACCTTGTGGAATGGAGACAGCGCAAAGAGCAGGCCAGGGGCCAGGTCACCGTCTTCGGACGCCGACTACGGGTAAGTAAGTGGATCCTTTGAAACCATCTAGTTCGGACTGCTCATTTTACAGATGAGGAAAATAAGGGCTAGAAAAGTAGTGCGGTGTATAGAGGGCCAGAGTTAGAGTGGCCTGAGTTTGAATCCAGCCATAGGCACTTACTTGCTGTGTGACCCTGGGCAAGTATCTTGATCTCTTTCTGCCTCAGTTTTCTCTTTTGTAAAATGAGGATTATAATAGCACCCACTTCTCAGGGTTGTTGGGAAGATTAAATGAGATAATACATATAAAGCACTTTGTAGTTCTTAAAATGCTATGTAAACTCTAGCTATTATTGTTATTAGTTGTTATACATAGTAACTATTGATGAATTAGTCATCAATAATTAAGTGATTATTTATTATTACTATTATTATATTAAGTGACCTAATCAAGTGACTAGTCACACACATGTAGCAAGTTTTGGAATGAGGATGAACTCAGGTTCTCTGACTACAAATCCATGTCTCTTTCTTCTAGACCATGTTATCTGAGGTCAGTGAATTTTTTTTAAAAAATATTTTTATAACTCTGTTTCATTACATTTGGTTTCCTTTGTCATACTATATTTTTGAATTTGTGCGTTTAAAAACATGATGCTGATGAGTCCGTAGGCTTATCCTACAGTGTGCTAAAAGGGGTCTGTGGGACAAAAAAAGAGTAAGAACTCCTTTTCTGAAGGGTGCATAATCTTGTATTTTCCTAAGAACGATCATATCCAGTCAGTCAGTAAACTTTTATTAAGTACCTGCTTTGCACCAAATCCTGAACTAAATGCTGGTGATATAAAGAGAAATGAAAAACTGCCCTTGCTCTCAAGAAGTTTACAGGCTAATAAGGGGAGAGACAACCTGTAAAAAAAATACGTGTACAAGCATGATATAAACAGAATAAATTGGAGATAGTCAACATCGAGCCAAAAGAGACCCATTTAGGGCTGCACCCTGGGGAAGTTCTGTTTTGAGCATGTTGAGTTCCGCTTGGTGGCAGAACATTTTGAGTGGGATCTCAGGCAGGTAACTAAAGATGCTAGGATGTATTCCAGGAGATGGACGAGGGCTGAAGATATAGATTTGGGGGTCATCAGTTCGGAGGAGGTAATTAGATCCACAGGGAAGAGTGTAGAGGCAGACAGGAAGGTAGCCTGGGACATCAGAGGATGCCAAGGCTTAGGGAGCAGGAGATAACAAACCCATGAAGGAGACTGAGAAGGAGTGACACTGTTCGTAGAAGGAAAAGGAGGAGAGAGGAGGATCCCAGAGCACAAGAGAGGACAGACTGCCTAGAAAAAGGGGCTTGGTCAGTGGTATCAAATGCAACAAAAGGTCAAGCAGAGTGAACACTGAGAGGAGGCTTAAGTAATCCTAAAGGATCATAAATTTATCTGGAAGGGAAATTAAAGGTCATCTAGTCCAGTCCCCTCCCCATTTTACAGAAGAGGAAACTGAGGCCCAGAGAGGTGTTACTTTTATCATGTCCAGTTCTCTTTCCAGTGTCATGGATAACCTTTGAGAAAGTCGTTTCAGGGGCAGCTAGGTGGTGCAATGGATAGAGCACCGACCCTGAAATCAGGAGAACCTGAGTTCAAATCTGGCCTCAGACCAAACACTTGATGCTTACTAGCTGTGTGACCCTGGGCAAGTCACTTAACCCCCAATTGCCCAAAAAAAAAAAAAAGGGAGAGAGAGAGAAAGTCGTTTCAGTCAAGGAGCCAGATTGCAAGGGATTGAGAAGAGAATTGGGAGGTGAGGCAGTCTAGAGGCAGTAATTTTTTTTTAGGAGTTTATCAATTAAAAAGAGGAAAGGATTAGGAGCATAATTGGAGAGGATGAAAATCAAAGAAAGGACTTTTTGTTTTTGTTTTCCAAATATAGAGGAGATGTGAGCATTTTTTGTAGGGAATAGGAATTAGGGAAGGATCGTAGGTGAGGGGATGATTGTTGGGGCAAATCCTCAGAGTAGGAGCCAGGATCGAGGTGCAAGAGGAAGGGTTGACTTTGACTCTAACACATAACAGCTGTGCAGCCCAGGGGAAGGAATGACACCTTCCCTGAGCCTCAGTTTCCTTATCTGTAAAATGGCAATTTTCCTAATACTTTTCCTCCATAATAAGATTGGTGCAGAAAGTACTTTGTAAAACTATGAGTGCTGTAGGAATGTGAATGGTTGTTATTCTTATCATTATTACTGTTGTCTTTGTTACTGTAACCATTCATACTGTTGATGGGGTTTTCAATCAGATGGTCTTTAAGATTCCTCACAGCTTCTGTGATTCTAAGTTGGCTAGAAACGCGTGGCCACTAGAATATTGTCTGAAATTAAAACGTTATTGGGGATAGGTGAGGGGGGAGCCCTCCCAATAACGTAACTCATTTTTTACAGGCAGGAACTTTTTAATAAAGAAGGATGTAAAATAATCTCTCTGCTGCCAGCATGGTTCCCAAGCTATCTGCTTAATTCAATTTTATTTATTCAGCCACAGAGCTGACACACAGTCTCGCAAGAGCCCCAGCTAAGAGATAACCACTCCCTCCCTGATCTCTGAAGCAGTGGGCAGTCAGGGCTGGACATTGCTGAAGAATCTTGAAGGATGACACAGCTAATGGTCCCCTCCACTAATGGGAGCTCTCCCTCCCCGCCCAACATTCTCAGTGTTTCCACCAGGAGCCCAGCCCCTGCCTCCTGTGTTCTCAGCATCAATACTTATGCCTCATGGAAATTCTATGCGATGATATTTTTTATCTCCACAATTGTGTCTGATTACCCCTGGGAAGACAGCCTTATTACAGCCGTGCCATCCTGGTCTCTACAGTTAGACTTGTCTCAGCATTTTCATTATAAATCCTCATTTTCAGGGCTTTGTAACTTGGACAGGCAGAGGCTGGGGGTGGGAGTGAGTGGGGTGGGGGAGATGCCCCCCCCCCCACACACACACACATCTTCTCCTGCTTGGAGCTGTTCCTCTGCCATTTTTCTAAGTTGGGGGACTCAGAGGGGAGAGTGTATTCTTCTGGGATTCCAAAGAGCCCCTCTTTTAAATGGGTGGAGAGCTGCACACAAGTCCTCAGCATTCAGAGCACGGTCTTAGAAGGGACTCTTTTAAAACCTGTTTTCTCACCAGGAAGGGTTGAAATGGCTTAAGAGATGGACTGTGATGGGAAACCAAGTATTACTATCTGTGTCTAGATCTGCCTCCTGTCCTCAAGCCAGCCAAAAAGCAATTCGGCCTGACACTTGTCTTGCTCTTTTGAGGTCATGTGGTATAATTCATCTCTATTCATTAGACTTTTTTTAAGGCAACAGAGTGTAGTAGAAAGAGCATTGACTTGGAGTTAGAAGGCCTGGGTTTAAGCCATGGTTTCAATACTTAATAGTGTTGTGGTGACCTTAGACAAAGGATTTCTCTTTGAGCCTCAGTTTCCTTATTTTTAAAATGAGAGGGTTGGAATAGATAATTTCTAAAGTCCCTTGGGAGTCCCAGAATTCTTAGAGGTAAAAGGTAGTTTCTTATCTTTACCAATCTTCAGGACAAATACCAAAAATAGTAATTATGACTACATATTTTATGCATATATATGTACATATAGTATATATTTATATATTTTATGTGTATATATATATATATAGTCTCATATATATGACTGTAATTATGACTGTATATATTTATATAGCACCCACTGTATGGCAGGCTGTACTAAGTACTTTACAATCATTATCTCATTTGAAGACTAGGTGGCACAGGGGATAGTGTGCTGGTCCTGGAGTCAGTAAGACATGAGTTCTAATCTGCCCTCAGACACTAGCTGTGTGACCTTTGGCAAGTTGCTACCTCAGTTTCCTTATCTGTAAAAATGGGAATAATAATAGGACCTACCTCCCAAGAGTGTTGAAGAAATAAAATGAGTTAATATTTATAAATTTCTATATAAATGCTAGCTATTATTATTAGCTAATTACAATCATAACAGCTAGTACTAGCTGCTATTAGCTAAGGATAATAATAATAGCTGGTCCTAGCTAAGAATAATAATAATAATATTATCAACTTATGATAATCTAATGCTAGCTATTGTTATTAGCTAATGATAATAATAGCTAATGCTAGCTGTTAATTGATGGAGGTATTATCCTCATTTTACAGATAAGGAAACTGAGGCTGAGAAATGATTTGTCCCAGGGTTACTCAGCTGCTAGTATCTGAAACAGGATTTGAACCCAGATATTCCTTATTTCAAGTCCAGTGTTCTTTCCTTTGGGTAACATGAGAAAGTTAGGGTGAGGCTATTGGGGTTCAGAGGCTTTGAATGCCAGGCAAAGAAGTTTGCTTTTACTTAGTAAGAAATAAAAAAAAATGCTGAAGATTTTTAATTGACAGAAGCCAGATTGATGTATGATAAAGATTATTCTGACAGAAAAAACAGTTCTAGTGGTGAGAGTGCACATGAGATGTCCTGTGACCATTTCGCAAATCGAGTCAGAGAAATCAGAGCTCTGGGGTCTCTTGGATTTTTCTCACTGTCTTCCTCCTTAGAGTAGGTAACTCTGGGCTTGGGAGACTTCTAGAGCTCAAAGGAACCTCTGGACATGGTGGAAAAGGCAAAATTTTTATTTGAAATCAGGCCTACCTTGAAAGATGTGTGATTTTTTTTCCTATGGGCACTTCCTCTACCGCACACTGCAAACTTTCCATCTCTGAGTACATGGCCTTCTAAAGTTGCCATGGCCAGACAATCCGGGCTGCTATTTAATTCGTAGAAAACATGGTATCTCAGATAAAGCGCAAGACTTGGAGTTAGGAAACCTGGTTTGAATCCTGACTCCTTCCTCTATATATTTTTTTTACTTTTCTGGGTCACCTTCCTTATCGGTAAAATGGGTATAGCAATGATTACTACATAACCTACCTTCCCAGGTTTGTTGTGAGAGACAATTTGCAAGCATAATGCATTGGGGAAATGGGAGCTGTCATTGGCAATCCCCCATAGATGTCTTCCCAGCCATTTCTTTAAGGAGCATCCCCCAAGGGATCTTGGAGAAGTCCCTAGGGATGGTTCCTCCAGTCATTGCCTGGAACACCGGCACAGACACTGAGGACCAGCCCAGGTCCCCAGGATCAGCAGATGATTGGAGCAGTCCAATCCCCTTCCAGAACATTGCCCCAGCATGCAATTCAATTTCCTTTGAAAACCAGAAAAGCAGGGGATCCCGAAGGAATAGCACTAAACCACAGCTTTCAGATTTTAATAAAGAAATGGAATTTTGCATCCTATTTCTGTATTTATGACTAACCCCATAGGTATCAGCCCGTGCCGCTAGTGATGTTGCACAGGGCCCTGAGGCTTAAACACTGGGGCCTGTTTAGAATTTCCCAGTTGGATACATGCAGCCTTCTGGCTCATTTTCTTTCCCTCATATTAGCCCCTGATTCTTTGATAACTGTTTCGTAAGCTCCCTATTTAGGGGACGAGAATGATCTAAAGAGTACTGGGCTTTGGAATCCCATGATCGATCTGTGTTTAAGTTTTACTCTTTACCAGCCTTAAGACGTCGCAGAAATCATGAGCCTCCATGAACCTCAGGTTTCTCAGCTGAAAATGGGGGTAATAATCTTTGCACTACCTACCCCGGCACTCCTTGTAAACTGAAACATGCTATAGAAACATAGAGTAATACATAACTGTATCCTGGAAGAGTATTGGGCTACAAGGTGAGAGGGCTGGTTCGAGTTTCAGTTCAGTCATTAAATTGCTGTATGACATTGGCCAAGTCACTTGAACCCCCTGACCTTTCCTCCTATATAAAATGAAGGCCATGGAGACAAGGTCTCTAAGGTCCCTACCAGCCCTAAAATGCTATTATTTTATAAGTCTAGGGTCCCTTCCTTCATGCTGTGATTTCAACCCTAAAGATACTGGGGAACTTAAACCCTTGATGCTGTACAAAGGGTTCTAGATGTGGAGTCAGAAGACCGGAGTTTATATCCCAGCTCTTCTATAGCCTGCCTGTGTGACCTCTCCTTTCTGGGTCACTGTTTCTCCTTCTATAAAATGAAGGTATCTATCTAGTTGACCATTCGCCTTCTAATGTCCTAATCATCGTTGTCATTATCCTGGTCATCAGAGCCAAGGCTTATTTATCGCTTGAAGGTTTGCAAAGCTCTTTACATAGGTTAACTTATTTGGTCCTCGCAACTACCCTGAGATATAGATGCTATTATTATTCCCATTTTACAGATGAGAAAACAGAGTCTAAGAAAGGTTAAGTAACTTGCCGGGGTCACACACCTAGTACACGTGTAAGGCTGGAGTCAGACTCAGATCTTCCTGATTCCAAGGCCAACACGGACTGGCTAACATTCTATTTTTAAGGTCCCTTCTACCTGTAGCATTTCTGCATCCTGTGCTGTTATATTCCATATTCTAAGTCTCTAACATGCCGCATTCTAAGATCCTCTCCAGATTTAACAGTCTGGGAATTGGGATCCACACTGATTTCTGTCTCTACTGTTTCTGCAGGTTCACAATCGAAACCTCCTGTCCCTGGACTTCGATCGAGTGACTCGTACAGAGAAGATCTATGATGACCACCGGAAGTTTACGCTTCGGATCCTGTATGACCAGGCTGGGAGGCCCAGTCTCTGGTCCCCCAGCAGCAGGCTGAATGGCGTCAACGTGACCTACTCCCCAGGCGGCCACATCGCCGGCATCCAGCGGGGCACCATGTCAGAAAGGATGGAGTATGACCAGGCGGGCCGCATCACATCCAGGATCTTTGCTGACGGGAAGTCCTGGAGCTACACTTACCTGGAGAAGGCAAGGGTCTTCTTCACTGACCCCTTTGGGGAGGCTCTCAGGCCAGCCTGATGACGGGGGCATGCTTTGCAGAAGTTGTGGTTCAGAAGAAAGTGCACCTAGGTCCAAATCCCAGCTCCAATACTTCTAGCTTATAGCGCAGCTAGGTGGCACAGTGGATAGAGTGCCAGGCCCATAGTCAGGAACACTCATCTTCCTGAGTTCAAATCTAGCCTCAGACACTTACTAGCTGTGTGACCCTGGGCAAGTCACTTAACTCTGTTTGCCTCAGTTTCCTTATCTGTCAAATGAGCTAGAAAAGAAAATGACAAACTACTTCATTACCTTTGTCAAGAAAATAACAAAAGGCGGGGCAGCTAGGTGGCGTAGTAGATAGAGCACCGGCCCTGAAGTCAGAAGGACCTGAGTTCAAATCTGGACTCAGACCAAACACTTGACACTTACTACCTGTGTGACCCTGGGCAAGTCACTTAACCCCAGTTGCCTAAAAAAGAAGAAGAAGAAGAAAAAGAAAAAGAAGAAAATAACAAAAGGGGTCATGAAGAGTTGGACACAACTGAAAAATGCTTAACAAAAGCTTATGTGACCATGAGCCAGTCACTTAACTTGTCTAAGTCTCGGTTTTTTTATCTGAAATAGCTAGTACTTTTATGTCACTTTAAGGTTTACAAAAGACTATTACATGTATTATCTCATTTGATAATGTTTTTGCTACCTACTTTGTAAGGTTGTTGGGAAGAAAACATTTTGCAAACCTTAAAGAGCAATTGAAATATGAGCAATTATCTCTTTGGTACTTCTTCAGGTGCATCTTTTTGATGAAAGAAATATGGCATAGCAAAAAGAGCCTTGGGCTTAGGACATCTGGGTTCAAATTCTGGCCCTAATAATTAATAATCTGTGTGACCTTGGACAGATCACTTCACATCAATCATCCTCAGCTTCCTCATCCATAAAATGGGAATAAAAATAACAGTAGTAATAATAATAATAGCTATACTACCTGCCTCGGGATGTTATGGTGAAAAAAACACTTTGCAAATTTCCAGTCACTCTATAAATGAATTATTGTGTGGATGATAGTGATTACCATTGTTTCTTGGGCGCCTGCTCTGTGCACAGCCCAGCTCTGTGTTGGACACTGTGGGACATACAGCAGTGAAATAACACCCAGTCTCAGCCCTTTTGATCCTTAGGTTCTAGTTGGAGTTGGGAAGTGAGTCATGGACTAGGCCAGGGGAGGGGAGGAACCTGTGGCCTCGAGGCCACATGTGGTCCTCTAGGTCCTCAAGTGCGGCCCTGACTGAATCAAAGGCCTCAAAGCCACAGGTTCCCCACCTCGGACTAGGTGAATATAGTATAAACTTGAGAGTAAGAGCTACAAAGGGGAGAACCAAGCAGAAGGCTAGGAGAGTTTTGAAAAAGAGAGAAATTGCAAAAATGAGGAGCCCTCCGTGAATTTAACTGTCCTTGTCAGAGAAAAAAACAGTTTTGATGATGTTGGTTTAGAAAAACTATCTATATATGAGCCCATTCTCTCTTAGTAGTCATTATTTAGTTATTTTCAGTCATGTGCAACTCTTTGTGATCCATTTTGGGGGCAAAAATACTGGAGTGGTTTGCCATTTCCTTCTCCAGCTCATTTTACAGATGAGGAAACTGAGGCAGAGTTAAATGACTTGCCCAGGGTCCCACAGATAGTAAGTGTCTGAGGCTGGATTTGAACTCAGGAAAATGACTCTTTCTGACTAGTAAGTTTGTGAGCATGGATTTGAACTCAGGTCCTCCTGACTCCAGGACCAGCGCATTATCCACTGTGCCACCTAGCTGTCCCAAATCCTTTAGAGGTTGTGTCAAAAAAGCCAAATCCAGGTGAACCTCTCAGAGAAGCACAGGTCCATCTCCCAAGAGGCTTCATTTGGGGACACTGAAAAAGAAGTAACCTTTTAAGCCTTCAGAATCTTCAAGAGCAAAATCACCATCCTTGGCTGACAGTAGTATCACCTTCAGAATTAGAAACCATTGGGATGGGAAGGAGACTTCTAGGGAAGCAGATTTTAACTGCTTGTAAAGAAAAACTTCTAAGGGCCAAAGCTCTTGTCCAGTGGCATGTGCTCCCTTGATGCAACCAGGGCAGCACAAAGAGCGCTAGACGTGGAGTCCAGATTTGATTTGTAAGGGAGGTCACAGAGAGAACTGGAGGTGCCCAGCCTGGGGCTGGAGGACCGTTGGTGGGGACCTTGTAGAGAAATTTCCTCCCCAGAGGATGAGCTCTCTTCCAACTTAGAGAGTTTTTAAGTCTGTGATTTACTCACAGGGGAATGGGAAAGAATGTGCTTTTCTGGATAATGGAAGGAGAGAACTGGGAATCACTAGGGACTGGAGGAGGCAATTTTTCTTTGCTTGGACTTGGGTAGCCTGTCCTTGGCACTCTGCTGTGTCTTTGCCCTTGTACTTTGCTCCTCTTTGGGAATTTGTCTTGGTACGATCTGACCTTAGGAGACCACGTGGATCATTGGTTGATACCAATATTCTTTCAGAAAACATCTGTCAGATGCCTAATGTGTCCAGAGCACTGTGCTGGCCTGTGGATGAAGTATAAAGTTTAGCCAAGACAGAGAGCCTGCTCTCATAGAGCTTGCCATCTTGTGGAGGACTGAAATAGAAACATGGATAACCCAAATCCACAATCTGATATGACAGATTTATTAGAGAGGCACAAGCAGAGAACTCGGTACAGTCTGAACATGAAAGGCTCATTACTGAGGGGAGAGATCGTGGCAGGTTTCCTGAAAGAGGTAGCATTAACTTTTCTTTCATTCGTTCATTCAACAAACATTTGTTAAGTACCTACTTTTTGCAGAATATTGTGTTAGGTAGTCGGCTAGATTAAAAAAAAAAATGAGATGAGGCATGGTCAGTGCCTCATGTTGCTCACAGCCCAGTAGGCGGATAAGACGCCAACACACATAACCATAATAGAACATAAATATGTTAGAGAAGTACAAAATGAAGTGTTATGTGATGCCAGAGGGGACCAGAGACCACAGACTCATAAATGTAGAGCTGAAAGGGACCTCAGAAACTAATAGAAAGGTTATTGCCCACTAGGGGAATCGAGAAAGGCCATGTGAATAAAGGTGTAAAGAATCGTGGAAGTTCAGCAGGTAGAGAGGGAGAAGAAGGACATAGGTAAGAGTGTGAACAAAGCCGTGGGGCTGAGAATGCACAGGGCGTGGCCAGGGAGGAAGAGCATAGTCTGCAGTCTGCCTAGGCATGAGGGTGTGTGGAAGGGTGGAAAGTGAAATTAAGGGTGGAAAAACTAAGATCCAGATCCTCTCTTGTAATTGCCCCCTTCCTCCTCTTTCTCACCGTTTCCCTTTCTTCTTCTCCAGTCCATGGTGTTGCTTCTTCACAGCCAACGACAATACATCTTTGAATTTGACAAGAACGACCACCTATCCTCCGTGACCATGCCCAACGTGGCCCGGCAGACTCTGGAAACCATCCGTTCCATTGGTTACTATCGTAATATCTACCGGCCCCCCGAGGGCAATGCCTCAGTCATCCAAGACTTCACCGAGGACGGGCACCTCCTCCACACCTTTTATTTGGGCACAGGCCGGAGGGTGATCTATAAATATGGGAAGCTGTCCAAGCTGGCCGAGATGCTGTATGACACCACCAAGATTGGCTTCACTTACGATGAGACAGCAGGCATGCTCAAGACCATCAACTTGCAGAACGAAGGGTTCACATGCACCATCCGCTACCGGCAGATCGGTCCCCTGATTGACCGCCAGATCTTCCGGTTCACAGAGGAAGGGATGGTGAACGCCCGCTTTGACTACAACTATGACAACAGCTTCCGGGTGACGAGCATGCAGGCTGTGATCAATGAGACCCCGCTGCCCATTGACCTCTACCGCTATGATGATGTCTCAGGAAAGACCGAGCAGTTTGGCAAGTTTGGGGTCATTTACTATGACATTAACCAGATCATCACCACAGCGGTCATGACCCACACCAAGCACTTTGACGCCTACGGGAGGATGAAAGAGGTCCAGTATGAGATATTCCGGTCCCTCATGTACTGGATGACCGTGCAGTATGACAACATGGGACGGGTGGTGAAGAAGGAGCTGAAGGTGGGGCCGTACGCCAACACCACTCGCTACTCCTACGAGTATGATGCCGACGGACAGCTCCAAACAGTGTCGATCAATGACAAGCCCCTCTGGCGTTACAGCTACGACCTCAACGGGAACCTGCACCTGCTGAGCCCCGGGAACAGCGCCCGCCTCACCCCGCTAAGGTACGACCTCAGAGACCGGATCACCAGGCTGGGTGATGTCCAGTACAAGGTGGATGAAGATGGCTTCCTGAGGCAGAGGGGCAATGACGTGTTTGAGTACAACTCGGCAGGCCTGCTCATTAAGGCATACAACCGGGCTAGCGGGTGGAGCGTGAGGTACCGCTACGACGGGCTGGGGAGGAGGGTGTCCAGCAAGACCAGTCACGGCCACCACCTCCAGTTCTTCTACGCAGATCTGACCAACCCCACCAAGGTCACCCATTTATACAACCATTCCAGCTCGGAGATCGCATCCCTCTACTATGACCTCCAGGGTCACCTGTTCGCCATGGAGCTCAGCAGTGGAGACGAATTCTACATCGCCTGTGACAACATCGGGACCCCGCTGGCGGTATTCAGCGGGACCGGCTTGATGATCAAGCAGGTCTTATACACTGCTTACGGGGAGATCTACATGGACACCAACCCAAACTTCCAGGTCATCATCGGCTACCACGGGGGCCTCTATGATCCACTCACCAAGCTCGTCCACATGGGAAAGAGAGATTATGATGTGCTGGCGGGTCGGTGGACCAGCCCGGACCACGACATGTGGAAGCGCCTGAGGGGCAACAATATCATGCCCTTCAACCTCTACATGTTTAAAAACAACAACCCCATCAGCAACTCTCAGGATATCAAGTGCTACATGACGGGTGAGTTTTTCATTCATTTCTCTCTCTCTCACTAAGTGACTCAAAAGATGGCGCCTCCATGAGTGGAACTCATAGTTCTGGTGGAACTCACGAAAGTGCTCTGAAAGTGCTTTTCGACAGAGTTAGACTGCATCTGTCTGAGTCCTGAGATCCTCTTTTAAGTAGATGATTCTAGCCCCACTACCAGCTAACTTTGTGACAAAATAATAACAACAATAATAATAATAATAATAACTAACATTTGTAGAGCACCTTAAGGTTTGCAAAGCGCTTTGCAAACATTAACTCATTTTATTCCCTCCATAATCCTGAGAGGTTTAATAATTTAATAATACTGTTATTATCCCCATTTTACAGGTGAGGAGACTAAAACAGAGCTTAAGCAACTTGGCCAGTACTCTATGCACTGTGCCACCTAGCTGCCTCTAGATGAGTCATTTCATTTCTCAGGGCTTCAGTTTCCTCTTCTGTAAAATGAAAAAGGTCTGATGAGATGATCTCTCTGGTCCCTTCCATCTCTAAAATTCTGTTGTATGACATTCTGTCTTCTTGGTTCTTTCCAGCTCTGACATTTTATATTGTGTTATAATAATGCTATAATAAGCCAGGTGGAGCCCTAGTGTACCAAGCACTGGACCTGGAGTCAGGAAGAGCTCAAATCTGGCCTCAGATACTCACCAGCCATATGACCCTGGGCAAGTCACTTAACTTTCTTCTACCTCAGTCTTCTCATCTGTAAAATGGGGATAATATCCCCCAAGGTTGTTGTGAGAAGAAAATTAGATATTTGTGAAGTGTTTAGTCCAGTGCCTGGCCTATAATAGACGCTTAATAAATGCTTGTTTCCTTTCTTCCTTCTAGTTTATTCTAGAGTCCCTCCCAGCTCTGACATTCCATGTTCTAAGGCCCCTCCCAGCTCTGACATTCCATGTTCTAAGGCCCCTTCCAGCTCTGACATTCTGTGTTCTTTTTTTATAGAATTTTTTCCAATTATATGTAAAGAAAGTTTTCAACATTCACTTTCATTAAGATTTTGAGTTCCAAACTTTTTCCTCCCTCTCTCCCTCCCCTCCTGCCTCCCCAAGACGACTATATGCGTACAATCATATTCAACATATCTCCGCATTAGTCATGACATTCCATGTTCCCAGCTCTGATATATTCTGCATCCTCAGGCCCTCCTAGGTCTCACATCCTGTGCCCCCTGAGAAGAAAGAAGAGGAGGGGGAGGGAAAGGGGAGGAGAGAGAGAAAGGTCGTTACTTTTGAAGGGCCCGTTGTTAAACATGAATATTTTAGCAATTGTACACTTCATGGTGGGAAGCTTTGCTGCCAGCCTTGGAAAAACCTGATGGATTGAGCTGACATTTCCATTACATCCGTCTGCATTAAGCACTCTTCTTGCCATGCCCTCAAATGAGTTTACTGTGAAAATGTGTTGGCAGGTTACTGTAGCTGAAAAAAAAAACCCCTCAATGTGATATGAAATGTACTTTTCTGTCAGAGGAAGGGAAAAAAAAAGTTGTCACTGCCTCTTGGCAAATAAATTAGTCCCTTTTTCCCTTTCTCTCCTCACCAGCCTTCCCCCTACACACACACACACACCACACACACACACAGAGCACACACACACACACACACAATGTCCCTTGACTGTTTAATAAAACATATTTTCTACAGAGAAAGTAGATGCTTCAGGGTGTGCTGTGGTGAAAAGAGCCATGTAATTTAGGGACATCAGAAGATCTGAGCAGCTAGGTAGTATAGTCGGTAGAGCACTGGACCTAAAGTCATGAAGTCCTGAGTTCAAATCCAGACCCAGAAACTAGCTGAATGACCCTGGTCAAGTCACTGAACCTTAGTCTGCCTCCATTTCCTCAGGATAATAAAAGCACTTAGCTCCCATGATTGTTGTACGGATCGAATGAGATAATATTTGTAAAGTACTTTGCAAACCTAAAAACACTATATAGTGTAAGTGCTTATCACCATCATTTTTTTTTTAGTTTTGATTCTACCACTGACTTAGGGGAGACAACCTCCCTGGACTTCAGTTTTCTCATCTGTGAAATGAGAGTTGATCAAAATGAACTCTAAGGTCCCTTCCAATACTAGGGTCCTCTGATTCTTGGATAAGAATCTGGCCCCATTTTTCTCAGCTTCTGAGGTGCCCCCTGACCCTTCTCTTGCCTGTGTGTATAAGAATCCCACACTGCAGCCACACCTCAGAATGGGCTAGGCTCTGGTCTCTGCCTACCCGAGGCCTCAATCCATGGAGGATATTTCTCTTAGGAGGGAGGGAGCACCCTTGCCAGGATGCTCACCAGATGTCCTGGCCCTTCCTTAGGAAATCAGGCTCCACGAGCTGAGGGTGTAAGGCCTCAGTGTTTGGAATTCTTGAAATCCTAGAATCTCAGGGTTAGAAGGTTCTCAAAGTTAGGGGACCCTTGTTCAAGTTCCAACTCAAAGATCCTAGGATTCTGTGACATCAGAGGTCAATGTGTCCAATCCTCTCTAGAACATTCCTAACATCCCGCCTTTGTTTAAGGAATCCATCACCTCCCACGGTACACCTCATTCCTCTTTGGGACAACTCTGTACAGAGCCAAAACTGGTCTCCCTTTTACCTACACCCACTGCTACTGATTTTCCCCCTAGGGCCAAGCAGAAAAAGTCTAATCTCTCTTTAACGCGGCAGCCTTTCAGATACTTGAAGACAACTACCACATTCCCCACTAAGTCTTCTTTTCTTCAGGCTAAACATCCACTGTTCCTTCATCGAGTCTTTGTATCATTGGTCCCAGGTCTTCCCGCCATCCTGCTGACCCACCATGTTTGTTTTGTTTTGAAATAGACATTTCTTGCTTTAATGTTTGTTTTACTGCTCATTAGATTACAAACTGAAATAACTGGTTTCTCTGTCATCCATATTAGTTAAGTTTGAAATCACTGATGGCAGGATGCTGCCATTGCTTAAATTAAGTAGTATGTGTCCTTCACTCCCTCCCCTTCCTTAAAAGCAGTGAGACTCTGAAACCTTAGAATCCCTGAATGTGACTCTGGAAGGGACTATAGGAAGTTAAATGAATGCAGAACATAGAATGTTAAACATGGAAAAGGACAGAAAACCTCTAATATTTGGCACTAGAGGGGACCTTAGGATAGAGAAGGTGAAAAATAGAAAGAGCCAGAAAACCTCTAATATTAGTGCTAGAAGCAAGCTTAGAACATGGAATATAAAAATGGAAGTGGCCAGAAAAAAAAATGTTGTTAGAGCTAGAAGAGAACTTAGGATATAGGAGATTAGAAATGGAAGAATCCAGGGAACCTAGAATGTTAGAGCTGGAAGAAACCTTAGAACATAGACTATTAGAGCAAAAAGGCGTTTAGAACCTAAGAGCTGGAAGGAGTAAAGATTGATTAATATAATGTGAGAGCTGAAAGATACCTTACACATCATTAATACAACCTCTTGACTAAAATCAGAGGAATCTGAGCCCCAGAGGAGGCCAAATAACTTGCTGAAATCATGTGGCCAATTAGGTTGGCCAAATGGCAGACCCAGGATTAGAACCCAGGTCTCCTGAGTTCCAGAAGGAGAATTTTTTTCCATGCACTACTGAACAGAAGATTTAGACCTGAGAGGGACTGAGGCCTCATGACATCTTTCCCATAGTCTCACAGCTAAACAGCAGCACCAGGGTTTTTTGGATCCATGAGTTCTAACTCTCCACCCAGTACTCCCCCTGCCTCTCCACCACAGCTGATTCCTCACTTAAACTCACAGGGAGTCTGTGGCTTGTTACACCATGTGACTGATCCTAAAATCCCCAGCCCTTCTGAGAGAAAAGCACCAGTTAAAAAAAGATGAGCTTTCTGATTGTCCCCTAAAGGTGTGATGTGAGAGTTGTGCATTTCCCATCATCTGTTTAAATATCGTCAGCTCTATCTTGACCTGCCTCCGCTTCCTAGGAGTCTGTCATGTGGCTGCACGAAGAATCCTTTTCCAAACTGTGACTGCAGATGTGGGTCCCCAGCCCCAGGCAAACTGGGCGTGGTGGGGCTTTTTTCTGTTTTGTTTTCTTAATTTCCCCAAGAACCATCTGGCAGCCTTCAGATAATGTGCAATCAAGGAAGTAGCTGCCCTCCCAGCAGAGTTTGGAAAATCAAGATTACTAGAAGAGCCCACTTGCCCATGACCAGCCTCTGAGAGGCCTGGATTCTGTGTCACCTTGGAGCTGGAATATTCCTTAGGTCAAATCCCAGGGTCTACCCCTTAGAAGTTGTGCTCCCTTGGGCAAGATGGTTCAGCTCTCTGAGACTCAGGTTCCCCATCTGTAAAATGGGGATAGTATCATCTTCATGCTGCCTATCTTATTGAGCTGTTGTAAAGATCAGATGAGGTAAGTGCAAAGTACTTTGTGAGTCCTAAAACCCATGTGACTATCAGCAATAGCTTTTAACATTATTAGGTAATTAAAGGTGTTGGCCTATTTTTTTTTACCTGTATTATTGTCTTGAAAAATCACCTCTCAAGGATAAGTATTCCTTCAATTGTTTTGACTTCTTTCCTATTCCAGATGTCAACAGCTGGCTCCTTACCTTTGGATTCCAGCTGCACAATGTGATTCCTGGATATCCCAAGCCAGATACAGACACCATGGAGCCATCCTATGAGCTTATCCACACCCAGATGAAAACCCAGGAGTGGGACAATAGCAAGGTAATCTGTGAGCGCTGCTGGCTGTCCTATTTCTTCCAGCCCTAGAAACTAAATGTCAAGATCACTGTCTCCTGAAGGTACTTACTCTGTCTCTATCAAAAGAAAATAGATACAAAAACTTGATGATAAATTTTGGAGTCAGAGAACCTGGTTTTGAACCCTACCTTTGCCACTAGTACCTATGTGACCTTGGGCAAGTAACTTTCCCTGCCTAGGCCTCAGTTTGTTGGTGTAGGTGGTATCTGAAGGTCTCTCCCAGCTCTGATATTCCGTGTTCTAAGATCCTTTCCAGCTCTGACATTTTGTGTTCTAAAAATCCTTCTCAGCTCTGATATTCTGTGTTCTAAAGTCCCTTCTACTCTGACATTTGTGTTCTAAGGCCTCTCTTAGCTCTGACATTCTACGTTCTAAGGTCTCTCTTAGCTCTGACATTCTATGTTCTAAGGTCCCTCCCAGCTCTAACATTCTATGTTCTAAAGCCTCTCTTAGCTCTGACATTCTGTGTTCTAAGGTCCCTTCTGGCTCTGACATCCCATGTTCTAAGGTCTTTTCCAGTCCTGACAATCTGTGATCTAAGATTCCTTCCAGTCCTAACACTGTAAGATTCTATTCCGTTTTCTTGTGTGTGTGTGTGCGTATATATCTATATCTATATATATATATATATATGTACACACACACACACATACACCCTCACCATCTTCAAAGCAGAAACTTTATTTTTTTCCACTTCCAAAGCAAGGAGGAAAGACTCTTCTATCTCTAAACTGTCCTTCCCCTTCTTAATTTTTTGCAGGTTTGAAGAATCAGTGTTTTGAAAGGTCTCAGACATTTAGCTGTATTATAATACAGCTGATAATATAATACTGTCAGAGCCCCTGAGTCCCATATCATCTCTGCCAGTTACTAGCTGTGTGACTTTGAACAAGGTGTTCCCCCTCTCTGTGCCTTGGTGTCATAATCTGTAAAATGGGCACCATAATAATACTATGTTGTCAACCTCACAGGGTTGTTTTAAAGAATGTGTGTTTGAAAGTGTGATATATTATAGAAACAGAAGTTACCCTTATTTAGGCATTAAACCTTCTGTCCCTGCTAAGCACTGTGTTGGTCTAAATGTCAGTCTGTAGCATTTTCTTACTCCTCCCCCAAAATATTCTGCCTTAACTAATTCATACGCAGCCTTCCCAAAAAGGAAAACCCAAAAGATACATCCAGACACGCAAACTTGCTCTGTTGAGAAAGTGGACAGTGCTCTTATCTGAGCCTGGGATTGGGACACTGGGACTTTACATGGTCACAGAAACTTTGGTCATAGCCGCCTCTCTCCCCAGGGAAGGCACATGGCCCGTGGGGACTCCGTATCACCCAGTATTGCCATAGCATCTTTAAAGCTAGGTTGAACCTTCCAGATCATATGCCCCCCCTCTTTTTTTTTTACCAAAGGAGGATGCCAAGACCAGAGATGACACATGAAATAAAGCCTTAAACTCATATAATGCCAGACTAAAAGGGACTTTGACCATTATCTAGTCCAGCCTTGGTCATTTTACAGATGAGAAAACTGAGGTTTGAGGAAATTAAACAATTCTCAATTCACAGGACTTGACCCTAGGCCACCTGACTCCCAGTTTCCAGATGGATATCCATTTCTTCCACCACATTGAATGTGTTATTCTGTCATTAGCAACTGGGACTAAAGGTTACACAGAAGAGTTAGAATGGCTCTGGCTACTTCCTTCTCAGTGCCACATTCATTTTCCTGCCCCCTTCTTGTTCAAATAATTCAGCAGAATTTCATCAGTGTGGGAGCCAGCTACACCAGCCCATAACACCTCAACTTCTGGTGCCCATATCTTTTTTACCCAGCAACAGCTTGTGTGAAAAAGGTCCAGGGAATGTTAGTGGACTGGGAGCTCAACTTGAGACAGCAGTTGACATGAAATGGCAGCCAGAAATGTTAAGGCAACCTTATAACACACTGATGGTAGCATAATGTCCAGAACAAGAGAGGGAATGGTCCCACGGTGCACTTAGGTAAGCCACTTCAGAGTATTGGTTTTAGTTCTGGGTGTTAGCTTTGCTGTTATTGAGCCATTTCAGTTGTGTCCAACCCTCCGTGACCCCATTTGGTGTTTTCTTGGCAAAAATACTGGAGTGGTTGGCCATTTCCTTCTCTAGTTCATTTTACAGATGAAGAAATTGAGGCAAACAGGATTAAGTGACTTGCCCAGGGTCATATAGCTAGTAAGTGGCTGAGGTCAGATTTGAAATCGGGTCTTCTCAACTCCAAGCCCAACACTGTATCCACTGCACAACATAGCTTCCCCATGTTACATTTTTAGGAAGGATATTAACAACCTGGAGTGTACCCAGAAGGTCACCAGAATGGTGATGGGACTGAGGACCATGCCATATGAGGAACTAGGAATTCTTAGCCTAGAGAAGAGAATTGAAGGATGGGAAGGGGATAGAAGGAGAAAAGACATGATAATTGTCTTCAAGTATTCAATCTATTCTCTTGTAAAAGAGTGATTAGACTTATTTTATTGGTCCCTGAGAGGAGAACCAAGAACTTTGAATACAAGTTGCAGAAATACAGATTTAAGCTTGATAATGGCCTCAGACAGTAGTTGTGTGACTTTGGACAAGTCATTTAACTCTGCCTCAGTTTCCTCATCTGTAAAATGAGCTGGAGAAGGAAATGTCAAACCACTCTAGTATCTTTGCCAAGAAAACCCCAAATGGGGTCATGAAAGATTGGACACAACTGAAAATGATGAACAGAAAGGAAAAATGTGCAAATGATTATAGCTATTCAAAAGTGAAATGGGCTACTTCAGTGATTGTCCCATTACTTGAGGTCTTCAAGAAGATGCTAGATTGTTCTGATTATACAATCTGATTCAACAAACATTTACTAATTAACAATAACCATTTGTCAGGAATGTTGTAGCTAAGGATTCCTGCTCAGGTCCAGTTTGATGAAGATGGTTCTTTGCACTCTGATGGTCAGTGATTCAAGGAACCCCTCTGTGGACAAGAATCATCCTTGCCTCTCTTTTTCTGTCCCAATAGCCTGGGAGCCTTCCTCTGGTCCCTTTGGGATCTCAGGAGTACCAATGCATCTAACGCTTAGTTGTCTCTCATTCTTGTTACCTGACCTGGTTGGCCTTTGCCAATTAGACTCATCCTTGTTGACTCACCATGTCAATGGATTATTGATTCCCGCCCTTGGCAGGCACCAGAGATCTTTGTTGTGAAGTGAGCTCTAGTTTTCATGAAACTCAAGGAAATAATTGTGCTCAGAGAAGGTTCTATTAATTATAAAGAGGACTTGTTTCAGTGAGAAGCCAGTGGCTCTGACTCAGAAGCCATTTTCCAGGTCCCCTGACAGTCAACTGGATGATTTCTGAGAACAGGGCTTCCCCCAAGCTCAAAGGAAACAAGGAAACATCATATTGGAGAAATCATGGCATCTTTTGAGAACATTCCCTGACTGTCCCTTTTGTACCCCTCTTAAGGTAGACAGTTTCACAGGGGAGGGGAACCTCCCACCTTGAGGCCACATGTGACCCTGATTTAAGGGATCTCCTGGCCCTGGTAGCCAGGCTGGCACAAAGCAAAACTGTTAAGTAGACTATTTGGAATGTTCCTTTTTTCCCTTTTCCATGTTTACTGATTTCCATGTTTACTGACTTCCATGTTTACTGATTTCCATGTTTACTGATTTCCATATTTACTGATACTATTTGTTCAGACCCCTAAAGGCCTAAGTTCCTTCCTGTGATGTCATATGTCATGTCCCTTTCCACCCACAGCAGAAATCAATCAGTAAATTAGTAAGCATTTATTAACTACCAAACATGTGCCTGGCGGTCCTGGGCCAGATACTGGGAATGCAGGATCTTGGGCCAGATACTGGGAACGCAAATACAGAAGTGAAACGGCTCAAAAAAGCTTGACTTCCATTGGAAAGGTCACAGATAAACAAATAGAGGATCTATAGAAAAGAAATACAGAGCAATTGAGGAAGTGACAATAACTATTCTGAAAATAAGTAAAGGCTTTTTGAAGGAGGTGGCATTTGAGCTAAGCCTGGAGAGAAAGATTCCAGGAGGCAGAGGTGAAGACGGAGAACATTCCAGGCATGGAGAATAAGGAGGAGGGGGACTGAATGTCACGGACAGTGAATGACAAGCAGGCCAGTTTGGCTAGAATGTAGAGGATCTAAGGGGAACTCATCTGTAATCAGACTGAAAAGATGGGCTGCAGCCAGATTAGGTGAAGGGCTTTAAGTACCGAGCAGAAGAATTTACAGTTTATCTTCTTTTATCCTAAGATCCGCCTTAATAATGCTAGTGCCTTCCCTAGGTTGATTATCTCCGATTTATCCTGTCCATAGCTTGTTTGCACAAAGTTGTTTGCATGTTGTCTCCCTCATTAGTCTGAGCTCCCGGCGAGCAGGGACTGTCTTTTGCCTTTCTGTATATCCCCAGAACTTGAGAACAGTGCCTGGAACATAGTAGGCATTTAATAAATGCTAATTAACTGACTGATTGACTGGCCAAGGCAGTAGTGGATTAGTAAACCTTCTTATGCAAGACAGTTACAAAAGCAGGTCTGTGCTTTAGGAATATCAATTTGTGTGGAGGAGGGATTACAGAGGGTAGAGTCTGGATAAAGGGAGATCAGTTAGGAGGTGGTAACTTAGAGGGAAAGTGATAAGGGCTAAAATGAGGGTAGTGACCAGTGAGGGACAAGAAGGAGATGGATATGAGAGACGTTAAAGAATTTTATTGAATAAAGTTTGTCAAGTAATTGGATTCAGGGATAGGAAGTGAGAGAGAGAGAGAGAGAGAGAGAGAGAAAGTTGAGATTGCAAGCTAAGATGACTGGAAGGATTATGGTACCCTGACCAGAAGCAAGGAGACCAGAAAGAAGACTAGATTTAGAGTAAGGGAGGATGAGTTCTGTTTAGGGTGTACTGAGTTGGAGATACCTATGGAACATCCAGGTGGAAATGTCCAGCCAGCAATTAGTTAGTCATCCAGGACTGGGACTCAAGGAAAGAGGTGAGAATTGGTTATGTAGGTTTGGGAATCACTTGTATAGAGGAGATAATTAAATCCATGGGAGCTGATGGGAATCACTGAAAAAGAAAGTCGAAAGAGAAAAGAGAATAGGACCCAAGGAAAGTGCTGGTTTGCACTCATGCATAGGGAGCGCTGTGTGGATGATGGTATGGTCAAAGACACTGAGAAGTATCATTAGGTGAGTGGAAAGAACCCTATCAAAGCAGAATCACAAAACGTAAGGAGGAGGGAGCATACAGACAAAAGGGATCACCAGTAGTGGCACATGCTTCAGAGGGGTTGTCGGGGCATGAGAACTGAGAAACAACCATTGCATTTAGCAGTGAAGAGATATGGTGACCATAGAAAGAGCAGTTTCAGTCGACTGGCGGGGAAGAGAATCAGGAACTAGGAACTGACGGAAGAAATGAACATGGACAACTTTTCCTAGTTTTACTGTGAAAAAGGAAAGACATAGGAGAATAGTGAAGGGATGGCAGGGTCAAGTGAAAGGTTTTTTGGGGAGGGGCGTTTAGGGGAGGCAGGTTTGGACGTATAGGCAGTAAGACAGGAGCCAGTGGAGAAGGAAGACTTGAAAGTTAGGGAGGGAGCGATGAATGAAGGGGTGGTGGTTGTCCTTCGTTCTCGAAGAGGACCAAAATGATATCACTGTGCTAGAGCCAAGTGTCAGCGTGTCCAGCTGTGGCTGATCAGACCAAGACGAGCTCGGAATGCTCTGCCGCAGCTCGGGCGCAGATAGTCTGCATGAACATTTGGGGCGGGTTCTCTAAATTTGCACATCTGGAGTTTCTTTTGAATGAAGGGGTAAGCTCACAGAAAAGGCAGGAAGGGATGAACTCAGGTAAAATGGCAAAGAGATGAAATAGCTCATCCCCTAGAAGGCAGAGAGCAGATGAGAGAGCAGGAGAGGACACCAAAGTGATGGGAGGCAGCTCGGTGTCTCAATGGCTAGAGCATTGGGCCTGGAATCAGGAAGACCTGAGTTCAAATTTGGCCTCAGACATTTGCTAGCCGTGTGACCCTAAGCGAGTCGCTTAACCTCCGTTTACCTTAATTCACTGGAGAAGGAAGTGGCAAACCACTCCTATATCTTTGCTCAAACAAGCAAACAAACATGGACGGATGGTCCATGGGGTCCTGAAGAGCTGGAAATGACTGAGAGATTGAACAACAAACAATCCCTGTCAAAAGAAGGAAGAAAGTTGGGTAGGCACAACCCATGATGTAGAGAGATGCTGGTAGAAAAAGAAAAGGAAAGATTTTGAGCGTGGGGAGAGGGCCAGTCAGGGAAAAGTTAAAGGATCAGCATGCAGCCGTGAGAGCTCTCTTGAGCCTGGACAATGTAGATTTGTGATCTGTCTGGGCCTCCTCTGTGCACATTCCTATAGCACGTGAGCAGGAAAGGTGGAAGGCAGATGATGGAGTAACAGGGCTGAGGTTTGGAAAGGTATGAATAGTGGTGGGACAGTGGAACAAGGGATCCAAGAATCAAGGGTAGAGTGAAGCTGAATTGTTAAGCTGAGGAGTGAAGGTTTTGAAGGGAAGACAATGAAGCCACATTGGAAGTGATGGCCTGGGAGAGCAGGGACGGGTGGAGCGACTGGGGTTTTAGTGAGGTGACGAGTCAGGGAAGATGAGAGGACAGGCAAATTGTTCTGTAAATTTTGGATTCAGTCAAAAGGCCGCACTTAAGGATCTAGAAGGCCACACGTGGCCTGAAGACCACAGGTTCCCTACCCCTGGACTAAACTGTATAGTATATATGTACATGGATGTCCATATGCATATCTATAGATAGAGGTACAGATGATACATACAGATATACACCCAGCCTTCTTCTGCTCTCTCTCAGACTCTAAGACAGAATAGTCACTTCTTCCCAATAGTTCCCATCATTTCCATTCCAGGCACTACTTTTTCCTTATTGATATCAGGTCTAGCCTGTCAGTTCCCATAGTTGTTCCCCCTGTCCTTTCCCTGTTTAAAACCTTTTTGACAAGATTGGTAAGACTCCAGATGAATGCATTTTACCCAGCTCTTACCGGGCACATTCTATCCCTAACTGGTAACCCATCATTCTTCTATTATAAACGGTTATCAGAAACACAAATCCCTTTCACCGAGACAGACTCGAGCTCGTTCTTCACCTCCTGAACCTGCCTCTTAGTTCTGAAACCCTGTCCTTTAGTCATCTGTGGTCATGAAGATACTACCTGTTCTCCTGAGGTGTTTGGCTTCTCTGCCAAGAATTTATAATCCTCCAGTCTCATCCCCTCATTTTTAAAGATGAAGAAAAACGAAGCCCCTGGAGGTGATGTGACTTGTCCAGAGTCACATAGCAAATTAATGACAGAGCCCAGGTTTCCCAATTCCTAGCCCCATAATGCTATTCCCAGGGCACTGGGTTGTGTTTTTTAAGGGGTAAAAAGTGCTTTTTTCTTAGGCATTGATGGAGGTCAGCAAAGTCATATGATGAGGGAGATAACAGACAGGCAGCCCAGTGATGCTCTACTCCCTCCCCCATTGTAGGGACCCTCTGTAGTAGCTATGGAATGATGCAAACAATAATCATGCAGGATGAGATGTTTCAGATGGGTTGCAGTCTGCACCGGTGGAGGGAATACTCATAGTGATGAGATCCTGTATCCATCAATCAGTCAGTTATTTATTGAGCACCTGTGCTGGGCACTGAGCTACAAAGACAAAAAAATGAAATTTAACCAATTACATTCTAATAGGGGAGACTATAAGTACATAGACACGTGTAAACAATATAAATACAATGCAAATATATACAAAGTAGTTCAAACCAGCTAGTTTGGGAGGGAGGGCACTAGCATTTGGATGGATCAGGAAAGGTTTCATGCAGAAGATGACCCTGAAAGCAGCAAGAGAAAGATGAGGTGGGGAAGGGGAGTAGGGGCGAATGCATAAGCAATTGATGTAGTGGAAAGAGCAGTGAGGATACTGGGAGTTTCCGCCCAATCACAGTCCCTTGCTCTTAGGGAGTAGATACTCCATAAATATCCACTCATGGAACGAATGAATAAATCGGCCATACTCCTTATTTTCCATATTCTCACCAATTCTGTTTTTGTTTTGTCCCTCAGTCCATCCTCGGGGTGCAGTGTGAGGTGCAGAGGCAGTTAAAATCCTTCGTCACCCTGGAACGGTTTGAGCAGATCTATGGTTCTCACATCGTCGGCTGCCAGCAATCCCAGGAGACAAAGAAATTCGCCTCCAGTGGGTCTGTCTTTGGCAAGGGAGTAAAATTTGCCATGAAAGATGGTCGAGTGGCCACCGACATCATCAGCACCGCCAATGAGGATGGTCGGAGAATCGCCGCCATCTTGAACAATGCCCACTACCTGGAGAACTTGCACTTCACAATCGAGGGGGTGGACACACACTACTTTGTGAAACCAGGGCCCTCAGAGAGTGACCTGGCCATCTTGGGCCTCAGTGGGGGGCGGCGGACCCTGGAGAATGGGGTGAATGTTACAGTTTCTCAGATCAACACAATGATCAATGGAAGGACTAGACGCTATACCGACATCCAGCTGCAGCACGGGGCGCTGTGTTTGAACACCCGCTACGGGACAACCCTGGATGAGGAGAAGGCGCGAGTACTGGAGCTAGCCAGGCAGAGGGCTGTGGGCCAGGCCTGGGTCCGAGAACAGCAGAGACTACGGGAAGGGGAGGAGGGCATCCGCTCCTGGACAGAGGGGGAGAAGCAGCAGGTGCTGAGCACCGGGCGGGTGCAAGGTTATGACGGATACTTTGTCATCTCGGTGGAACAGTACCCAGAACTGGCCGACAGTGCCAGCAACATTCACTTCATGCGACAGAGTGAGATGGGCAGAAGGTGACAGAGAGGGTCCGAGCGTTAACTTCTTGCCAAAGACAGCTACTCTCTTGTGGCCACTTACCTGACTGTGTTGTATTCGGGGAAAAAAAGGAAAAAAAAAAAACAAACAAACAAACAAACAAAAAAACAAACAAAAACAAAAAAAAAAAAGAAAAAAAATTTTTTTTTCTTAATGAGCTCAGAAAAGGAAAAAAAAAAAAGATATTGGTTGCACGGTAACTCATGCAACATCCTTTCTTTTTTTAATTTGGCCTTCACACGTTTTTTGCAAAGAACAGAAGGTATTTTTTTTTTTCCCGTAGTGTGTGATCAAAGTGAAAACTTTCCTGTCTCTTGTTCCTTTTTTTATGTTGTGGTTTGGGGTCATGTTTTCTCTCTCTTTTTTTTTTTTTTTGTCTTTCTCCCTTGGGAGGCATTTCCAGATGAGTGGGTCAGTGTCTTTTCCTAAGTACTTGGTCAGTCGGAAGTGAGCCCAGAGTGTGTGTGTGTGCTACCTGGCCCCATCCTAGGCCCAGGCTTCCGAAGACAAGAGGGAAAGGTGGGATGGGAAGAGAGAGAGAAGGAAATCACACCCCAGTGCACTTACTTAAAGTTTCCAGGGGCCAAGGCTGGGTCCACTGGGTGGGAGTAGCAGGGAGGGGGTCCTACTGCATCTTTGAATCCTTGATAGGGCCCTTGAGCCTCCATGTGACCCCTGCCCAGTATTTTGTGCCTCTGGAGACCCAAAAACCAGCATGTCCCTTTGCTGGAGGCCAAGGTGACATTCAGCATCCTTCCCCATGGGCCCCAGGCTAAAGACCCAACTTTAGATCTTGAAACCAGATATGTAAGACCGCCACCATCCCCCCTCTCCACCCTATCTTTACCCCTTTTTGCAAATCTCGTTAAGCCTTTCAACTAGGAAAGGTTTTTCCTCTTGCTCCCCAGTCTAGTGACGGAGCGCTACTATAGCAATCATAAGACCTGAGTAATCCCAGCTCTGCCACTGACACCGGCAGGTCACTCACCGTCTCTGAGCCTCGGATCGCTCCTCCACAATATGGAGTTTAGACTAGATCATCTCTGAATTTCCTTCCAGCGCTAACATTCTATGAGTCTGAGAACTCCGTGCTCAAGTCTGAGCACTCCCAGGGTGTTAAGTGCTAGATAGAACTAACGCCTCATGAAATTAGCCATGTTCCTTATTTTCTGAGGTCATGGTCTGTTGTCATGGTTGGGTTCCCTGTCTGGTTCCATCATTCCCCATAGTCAGAGCTGAGACTAGTTTTAGGTAACTAGATGAGTCTAGAGGGAGGCTCAGGAGAGGGAGGGCTAATGTCCCAATAAGGGAAGTCTCCTGCCACAAGCAAAAGACCTTGTTCACAAGTGGTGCTTAATAAATGTTGATTGCGATGAAATGATAGAGGTGGCAGTGGAGTTCAGAATTTGCCTTCCTTCTCAAAGTCCCCTTGATGTGCCCTGGCAAGGGTTGAGGGGGTATGGGGGGATAAGGGGATGTTAGGAAGGGGTATAGCAGCAAAAGGATTGTCATGACACCTAGGTGCTATTCACAGGCAGGAAGAAAGGTGTAGTGGGGTCCACAAAGAAAGGCATTATTAGTGGAATGCAGGGAGGCAAAATACTTAAGGGGGGAATGTTTTTCTAAAGATAAGCTGATGGAGGGAGAGTCCTGAGCCAGAAATGAAATTAACTATCCCTAAAAGTTCTCAAGGCCCTCAAAAAAAAGTCTGGCATGTGGCAGGCTAGCTGGGAGTCTAGCTATGAGTGCTCTGGAATAGGTCATGAAATAATTGGTGGGGGGGAGCATTCCTGGAAATAACTGGCTGGATGGGAGCCCCAGAGGCAATTTGCATAGTGGAAGGGACCTTGGATCTGGAGTTCCAAGGACCTGAGTTCAACTGCTCTCTCACCTGTGTGACATTGATCAAGTCATTTCATAGTATTAGAACCTCTGGTTTTTTCATTTGTAAAGGACTGGCTGGCAGCCTAAAGCCCCTTTCAGCTCTAAATCCCATAGTCCCTTTTTTTTTTTTTTTAAAGAAAGACTGCCTGCTGAAAACCATACTTAACATGGCAACATGTTTTGTACTGAAGTGTTTCCAGAGCCACCAAGACAGGAATCTCCCTCCCTCCACGAGCCTGCCCTCGTTTGTCAGGGCAGCCCACCAGTCATAACAAGAGCAGCCCAGCAGGAAGATAAGCAAAGTTTCCTTCCCCCCACCCCCATCCACTCCTTTTCCCCCAGGAGGTGTGCAAAGGGTATGCTGTTTGGAGATGATCACAGGGTAGGGGCAGTGTGGGTCAGCCATGATTCTGGGGCCCTTGGGCAGGTGGGAAATAGATGGGCTGGAGAGAGCTAAGCTTCCTCTACTCTGCGTGTGTGTGTGTGTGTGTGTGTGTGTGTGTGTGTGTGTGTGTGTGGTTTGCAGCGCCCTCGTTTTAAGTATTCGCTGCCAACACACTTCATCACCATGACCATCAGTGTGTGAGGGGGGCAGGAAGAGATGCTACCACCTTCTTTTTGGGGCTGGCTTGTTGAAAAAAATGGGCCTTTTGTGGTAGCAAATGGGTTTCATTTACAGTAAGTGTGGAAAATGGATTTCAAGTCTGAGCTATTCCCAGTGGAAACCTTGTTGGACTGATAAGCTCTCGGTACCTTTATAGCCTTACTCACGGAGTCTTCAGATTATTACACAAGCTAATGAAAGCAGGCCGGTCTCTCAATTTCCAAAAGCCTGTGCAACTTGTAGTCTGTACTAGGCCAAGAACTAGGGGACAGCTCAAACCTGCCTGATGGAAAAGGAATTTATTTGCCTTAGGTTTTCAGGTGGGAGGGGCAGAGGTGAGAGGTTGTGTTTAACTGGGTGCTTTTCAGGTTAAAGAAAAAAAAACAGAAGTCACACTACTGTGAAAATAGACTTTGGGTCTGTCCACTTATTTCACTGCCGCCTCGAAATCAGAGCTCTGCTGAAACACAGGACATTCTTTGAATGCTGCCAAGGGATCAGTGCCAGCCATCCAAGCTGGAGACCCGGTTCTCTGTCTAGCCATATCTGCTTTAAGGTGCAACAAGATGGGACCAGACAAAATGGGACGTTTCCGAAACCCAAAGAGCTTTGGATGGGGGAGTCAAGAAAACTGGGTTCCAGTCCCAGATCCATCGCTGACTCACTCTGTAACCTGGGACAAGTCACTTCCCCTTTGGGCACCTATGTTTCTTCCTCTATAAAATGAAGGGATTGTACTAGATGATCTGTCTCTGAGGTCCTTTCCAGGTCTGACATCCTGTGGATCTATTTATCTTGCTCAGAAAAATGCCAGATGTGCTACTGTTTCTTCATGACCTCCAATCCTTGGGGGCCTTAACCACTTGATGATGGCCAAGTGCCCAAGGACAAGAGTGGCTATCAGTAGATCTAATGGGATGCCTACTGGCCTCTTAGCCCTCCCCAGTAAGGAGGAATTATTGGGATCACCCACTGAGCTGCAGAGACAGCAGAGTGACTAAGGCAAGGGGTCTCCCCACTGACATCCTATTGCCCAGAACCTCAGTATCTGAAGTCCCACCATGCTTAGCCTTTGGTTTGGAAGCACTGGAAAGTCTCCTGCATTAAATGATCATCCATTGTTTCATTTCAGCTACACAATGGAAGAGAGAGAGCAGATCTGTGCTGCTTGGTCCTAGGGGGTAGAGCTAAGACCAGAAGGGGAGCTGGGGAATACCAGGAAGGCAGATTTCATCTCAATTGGAAGAAGAATGTTCTAACATTTCCAGGTGTCCCACAATGAAATGGACTACCTCATTGACTAGTGAATTCCCCATCCCTGAGGGTCTTTAAGTTGAGGCTAAATGACCATCTTTAAGGAATAGTGTAGATGGTGCCCCTGTTCAGTGAGAGGTTGTACTGGATGACCCCCAAAGTTTGTTCTGGGCTTTTGTAATTTGTGATTCTGGCATATGGTAAAGGAGCATCAGCAGCGCTAAATGGGAACAGGAAGACCTTAGAATGTCAGGGGGGAGTGAAAGACCAGAGAGGTTATCTTGCCCACTGCATCCCCCTCCTTTCCGATAGCCAGAATTACCCAGGAGGCAGATGCTGCCAGTTATCAGTGCAGAAGCCACTTGTTGGCTCCACCACCCTTTTGAGTTGTCTTGCCCTGAAGGGTGGTGAATAGTTAAAGCTGAACTGCCCGCTCCATCACCCAGATCCCCCTGTGACCGGCGACACATTTTTATGAGATGGCCCACCAGGTTTTATATGTAGTCTACAGTCTTGGAAAAGAATAAATCTTTAGGCAAATCTAAAAATCCCATCCAGTGACTTAACCCATGACCTGGGCTTTATAAGGACTAGGCCCAGTCCAAAGTTAAACAAGCTAGATCAGAACTTTCACAAAGTACGTTGGGGCTGTCCCAACAGGAATGAATTCTCATTACTCCTTCCTCATTACAGTCTTCTAAGTGGAGACCGGATAAAATGCCTAAGGATGGGGATGCCATAGGAAAGATCCCTCTTCTATGGGTTAGACTGGATAACTTCTGGGGCCATTTCACCTTGAATAGTCTGTGATTCTACATGCCCTAATCAGTTCAATTCTGAAGCAATCAAAGCACCTCCTTTGGTTGACACTCATTCTTGAGTAGCTGCATTATGTTGATCTCTGATCAGAGAAGGAAGTTAACTATAGCGTGGATCCTCCATCTTGCACCCCAACCCACCCACATATACACCTCTAACCCGGTATCTCTTGGGTAGGACACAAAGCTATTTTCCTTTCCACTGGTTTCGTCAAGCCAGACCTTGGTTTTTCCCGAAACATTTTTAGTCAAAGTAGGAGCAGTATATTTTACCCACAAACGAAAAGAGAAACATTGAACTGCAGAAGCTAGGAAGGTGGTAGATAGTAGAGCAAGTTGGTAAGCAGTCCTGCTATCAGGTGGGGGCCTTGCCACTCATCTGTCAAAGATACCAGCTGGGACTAGAGCACTGGGAGCCACCGAGAGACCCGGTGTTTAATTTCTACATTAAGAATCAATGATGTGAAGCTAACCCTGAGAAGCTGGGAGATGCTGAGAACCAA